TAATGCTATATTAATGAAAACGGGATTCGAACGAATGCTGACGTACATACAGCATGGTACATGGAACATCGGTTGCGAAAAAAGATTTTTAAGATGGCCTCTTTACAAAAAAATATTTTCTTAATCGACACTAAAAATATACCAGCCCATGTACATATGGAATCGACAGAAATTGTGTGTGTGAACTCTAAAGCAAGTGTGATTGAACTCTAAAGCAACATTTCAACGAAAAGGATATCCCCCAATTTTATAAATACTTGTCTGCGCGCTTCCCCAAAAGTCATAAATTTGTTTCGTATGTAATCTCCATGTTCGGTAGTACGTATCTGCATTAGCAACTCTTCTCACTTATTAAAAGGAGTAAGTCCTTACAAAGAGTAAGTCCCTAACGAGATCCAAGTTGGCATTCATCTGGTAATTGTACACAACATTTTATTGGAAACTTAAATAATTTTTTTATTGTAGTTACACAGTAGCGAGCACACATAAAACCTTTGGTGGGCACACGTAAAATCTTTGGTGGGCACACGTAAAACCTTTGGCGGATGCAGCGTTGCCCGCAGACATAGGAATGGGAAACACTGATTTAAATAAAAATGATATAACTTGAAATCGTGTGTTTAAAACACTATTTAAAAATCAGAATTTGTCCAGGAATCAAATAATTTTCTCGTTTTAGGAAGTGCGACTAAAACCATCGGAGAGATGATGCATATTCGTTTTTTCGGCTAAAATTCTATACCTTGCCAATGAATTGATTTTTAAAGTGCAATAATTTCTAAACTTTTATAACCCTTTTCTTCTAATGGACGCACAGTTTTTTCTCCTTTTTTATAGAATTTTCGTCACTCGTTTATGCTGTAGAAAGCCTAACTGTATCAATATCTCTAAGTTGTTAAGCATTTTGCAAACCTTCTTCGATGTTACTGGGCGTATTTAGAATTAGGAACTGAAAAGACTACTTGGTGTGGAAAAGCTTCCTATCGATCTTTTGATATGGTTCGTTGTTGCAGAGACATTACACGCAAATAAATCTAATTAATTACATAGAGAAATTCTGCTTAAAATTCATTTTGAGAGACCATGAACATTCTTTCTTTACTAACATTCAACTCGTCTTCTTCTAAGCATTTTGATCACAATATTTGCCCCTTGATTATTTGTTGTTATATTCTTTTATCCCCCAGTTTTGGAACTACGGCATCAAAGAAGTGTGCACTGCGTACGCAGACATTCTTCTGTGCATTATGTGTATGGTAACACTGCGAAAAGAAAAGTTTAGAAAGCACCATTATAAAAATTATACCTGAATTACATAAAAAGCGTTTGATTTTACATGCCAAAGAAATCCAAAGTTTAATTGCTTTATGATTTATGAAATTTATGAATGTCAACTGCGTAAACTTTTTGTTGAAGTCATCTCTGATAGATGTAAATATTTAGAAAAATAATTAAATTGCAGTGCCAAACATCATCGTAGTCAAAAAGATTACACCCATAGAAGATATAAGTGATAGTGCTATGGAAAACGTGAGTGGTCATCATGTGAACGTTTGACTTCATTTTTCTTTCGCTCTTTCTCTATAAATATATATGTCATAAATAGCACAGGAAAGATATCATATCTAAGAGAACTTGGCAGTCGAGGCAGTTTTAATTCAATTTTTATTTTCCAGTTAACATTTGTGGCCACAATCACTTGGCACTCTAGTAGCCTTTTTACAGAACATTTACGTTTTTGATATTATTGCAATAGAATGCAAGACAGCGAAGCTACATCCTAGCAGGGTAGAAAGCGAAGCTGAAGTGCGTAGTTACGAAGATGGAAGCACACGAAGAGTAAGGTTTTGGTTTGAGTTAAAAGTTTCAGTTCGCAATTATTACGTCACCAGAAAAAAGTAATGATCTAGAAATGACGCAATGGAGAAGTTATTACGATTTTTAGGACAGAGAGGGAGAACCCGTTTTAGCCGTTAGTTTAAATTATAATTTTTATTTATATATTTTTTATCTTACATCTGTGTTCTAAAAACCGTAATAACTTCCCCATTGCCTCATTTCTAGATCATTTCTTTTTGCATGGGCTGCGCAGCGCTGGTGAAGTAATAATTGCGAACTGAAAATTTTAACTCAAAACAAAACCTTTCTCTTCGTGTGCTTCCAGCTTGCATAACTACGCACTTCAGCTTTGCTCTCTACCCTGCTAGGATGTAGCTTCTCTGTCTTGCTTGCTATTGCAATAATATCAAAAACGTAAATGTTCTGTAAAAAGGAACGACTAGAATACCAAGTGATTGTGACTACAAACGTCAACTGGAAAATAAAAATGGAATTAAAACTGCCTCGACTGCCAAGCTCTCTTAGATATTACCAAATCAACATATATAAGCATCTTACGCAATCAGAATTCTTCCTCTTCCGTATGGATCTACATACGCATAAACAGTGTTCCGGCTTTTCCATGCTGTTATGTCATATATATATTTGTAATAATAAAATTCCATAGTCAAGAATACACTTAAAATTCTAACTGCATGTTCTTTTCATTTTTAATGGCAACGTTCTCTTATTTGAAATTACGTGGAATTAAATCCACAGCCCCGTAGTCAAGTTGTTTTTCCCGCCTTTTCTACACGTACAGTTATAGAATGTTCTGGAGATATTTTAAAGCGAACTGGATTGGATGACGTCATTTGGAAGCTCCGCCTTTCCAGAGGCTATAAAAGGACTCGCAAAAGGAATATCGGGGCTTTTTCTTTATGTAACAATGCAGTAAACTTTCATACAAAAGTTATTAGTAATTCTTTTTATTTACTCCGGAGATATGAATTTTGTAACTGCTTTTTCTCCTGAATAATAATAAATGGTCCTGTTTTTTAAACTTATCATCTGATTATTAAGCTACGACTAAAGCTGATACATCACATATATATATTCATTATATAATTTCGTTCCGACATTTCCTTTTGATTTTTATTCATTATATAATATATATACATATTTATAAGATAAAAAATATGCAAATCAAAATTCAAATTTTCAACAACCCCTTAACCCTTTGCTTTGATTTGGGTATTTTCCCTTTTCATCCTAGAAATAGTATATGCGTCATTTAAAAAAATAATCTACTTCATATGATTCTTGCATAATGTTAAGTACGCAGATAATTTTGCAAACTGAAACTAAAATGACGAGAAGGAACACAGTAAAGAGAACTCAAATCACTTTTGAAATAAACTTTCATTTTAGAATCGTCGCATTCGATTCCCGATTCTGTCTTGCCAATTTGCCACCGCTGCATGATAATTTTCTGACCGAAACGTCATAAAAAATTTTAAAGTTCTAGAACAAGCACGCTAAGCTGCTTAGTTTGCGTTGACTATAAAAGGCTTGCCAACAAGAATGGAAAGAAATTTTTAACTTGGCTATGCAAGCTTCTTCTTTATGCCATTAATATATGATTTCAACATTTTCTATATGATTACATATATGTGGATAACATGTACATATACATACACACGTTAAGCTGATCCAGTGATGCGTTTGCTTATGAGCGAAAAACTCAATCCATTTGCAATAAAAGGTAGTTAGTAGAGTCAAGATCAGTAATTTTGTTTCATGTTTTGGCAAGAGGCTTTCTGATCTCGTTTTCCAAATATTACATGGCACACAGGCAAATAAAAGAAAAAAAGAGAGATCGCTTCTACTAAATTATAAAGAATAAATATCATATCAGAATGAATATGGTTACTTTGCTTCTCCTCAGAATGGGCATCGCATTACTTTCAAATGATAAAATGGTGCTATCGATCATAAATTCAATGCATCTTGTCGTCCAGTTCACTTTAAAGCTCAAATCTCCTAATCCACTCCTTTTTTCTACATTTTTATAAAAAAGCATGGAGATGAAAGACAGGTTCTTTACATTTGCATTTATAATATAAGCATATATAAGAAGAAAATATGTAAATCAAAAATATTATAACTTTCATTTATAATAGTCCCTTGACTCTTCATTTGAATCTGTTCATTACTTCTTTCCTTCTTAAAAATACTAACTGTTTATAATAAACTTCTCTAACCTGCGCTTTTTTAAAATTAATTACTAACTCATGCACTTATAAAACGCTTCAGCAAATAGTTATTTCAAATTTGGGAACCAAAACTTAAAATTTGCAATGGGGCAAAACATTGAACTAAAAACTAAATCAGTCTGAACCAAACTTTATCTTAGACACGTCGCATTGCCTCTCTCTCGCTTTGCTACGGCCAGTTTGCTAATGCCTTCTCTTCCTTCTGTCTTCAAATAGTATGTGAAAGTCTAGGTACCGATGTAATTCTTCATCAATAAGTGCGCTTACTGCACCGATTTCTCTGCGTTTGCTTAAAAAATGTTTGTCATCAAGACTAAACAAATTTCAAACTGGCCATAATTGCAATTGTCTGCTTATGCATCTGCTTGTCTTCAACATCCAAATTATTTCATATCTATATATCTGTATCTTATATTTATATATATGTGTGTGTATGCATTTATTATTATATTGGATTCTTATCACAAGATGGAATTACCCAAAGAATCTAAAAACCCTCATGATTACTAAAATAAGTTTACTGAAAGGCACACACTATTAGTTTTGATATTTTATGTATAGAAAATACAATCTACATGGATTTTAATTATAAAGATGCTTCATCATATCGTCATAATTGTTTCCATTGTACCGTTATAATATTATGATCATTATATGATTATAATTGGGTTTTATTAATGACTTGATCAGGCTAAGTATTAGTACCCATTAAAATGTAATTAATTAAATAATTTAAGTATCATGTCCATGTTTTCGTCACATGCAAATAAAGTTTTGAAAACTACCTGTATAACTAGAATTTCGAAAGCATTTAGGTAACTTTTTTTTTAAATTTATTTATACATTTGTTGATTCATTGTATAATATGTGCTGTACAAATAATTTATTTATTTTTCTTTCATGAAGAGAAGACTTATGTCGACATTCGAAGACCTGTGATACTCTTGGTAAGTAAAATATACTTTTTATCTATACCTCTTTCTTTTAACTTACTTATGAACTCCATACTAACTGTTCCAAACAAGTTTTATACATTCCATCTTGGTTATATGTATTTTAGGTACTTAAACTGACATGCAAATACTTATTTTCTGATGAGAACCAGCAGCGATTGTATTCATATAATAACACCAAGGATTAGTAATTCTGTGATTATAAATTTACTATAATATTAATACATTGACAGGTTGGAAACAACTAACGACACATTTCGGAAAAAAATCTTCGGTAGGTTACTTTAATTTATATGAATGAAATAAATGCAAAAGCGAATAGCGATAGCGGAGTTAGGAGATTTTAACGATTTTTACTGACGAAAAAAAAATAAAAATAAAACAGTTTATCTATTGTTTTAAATGCAGCTGGTATGAATCATAAATTTGAATCCTAATGCAGACTTATCTTGAATTTGTGTTTTCAGTATAAAACCAAACAGTCTGTTGCTGAGGTACATAATATCTAGCATTAGGAACTTATTTTATTAATTACAGTGATGCTGCATATATTCATAAAAATATACCAACAGGTCATATTATAAGAGTGTTATACCTCCCATACAGTACAGTGGTTAGTGACGATTACTGCCGTAGCAACTGGCCGGAGTTCTAATCGCTGCATATAAGAACGTCTCGCTGCATATTAGGCGTGGATGTTTATATATGTGTAGTTCTATGCGACATGAGGCCACTCAAAATTATAAAGCGAGCCAAAAGATCTCCTAGTGGTCTGGTGGTAGACCCTTGGACTCGCCCCCCGCAGGCTGTTGTTGTGAGGTGTTACTGGGCTAAACTATACTGTCACGTATATGATGCTCAAGGCTCATGCCAACTACAGACGCAGCCTTGCACTTCTTGCTACGATCAAATTCGCGGGCTTCTTTTGATTAGGTCAATCAAATGAAATTAGCTACAACAGCAAAATGTAGAATGTATTGTATACGCTATAAAATGCATAATGAATGTATTATGTACAATTCTAAAATGTGTTATTGTATACTACTAGCCATTAAAATTATTGCCCCACGATGCGAAGCAAATAACAGAATATTATTTATTGTACACATACTGTATAATGGGCGGAGGACATAATTAAATTTTCAGGTGTTTTTTGGGTACACAGCATGCAGAATTGAGTCCACAGAACTGCTACCTCTGCATAGAGCTGCATCAACACCTATACTCCGGTTTGGCATCGTGCCGAACTGAGCTTTGATTGCGGATACGGGTATACTCCGTGCAGCTTCAACTCTATGCCACAGTGCTTCTCTAGGCAATCTATGACCAAATGTTTTCAGTGCGTGAAAGATCAGGAGAACGTGCTGGCCAGAGCAACAGTCGAACACTCTTTTTTTTTGTCCAGAAAGATCAGGACAACAGGGTCAACCTTCTGTCGTGCGGCGTCGAAAATCGAACAAATGCATGGACTTTAACACATCAGAAATATAATGACAGTTGTCCGCATTACCGGGCTATGTGAACAAGAAATAACCGAGATGGCACTCAAGGGCACTCCAAACCAGCATGCCACGTACTAGGTCCGTATGACGACGATGAATGCAAGCTGGAAACGTTCGTTCTACTCGTACCTCCACACACGCGTACGTCTATCATGTTGCTGTATGCAGAAATAGGATTCGTCTAAAGACAACATGGTGCCAGTCCCATGTCTCGTGTCGTCGTATGTCGCACCTCTGAAGCCACGTCTGTCTCTGCTTCAGCGTCAAGGGAAGCTGTAACAATAGCCACGATGCTGACAGGCCCGTAGTGCTGCCGACGTCGTCACATTGTCCGGAAGGACACTTGACATCCTGCACACGAGCTAAACTCCTGACTCAGGATACGTGTTGTGGCTGTGCGATCCCGCAAGAACAAGAGGACAACTTCAGCCTTCTGGGGCATTAGTGGCCCAGGACCTATGAGATTTTGCATGGCCTTCGATATGACTCTCCTAAACCCATTGATTCCTTATTCGCCTTCCATATTCATGAGACTCCGAGCAATGCGAGCAGCTGTGTCGCGGAACGATAAACCACAGTCTGGATAGGACACGATCTTCCCGCGGTCGAATTCTGACGCGTGCTAGTAGAAGTTTCTCCACCATTCACGAGGCATTGCACAAACAACCAACGTACAAATGTGATTATTTTGTTGGAATATGGCGTTTGGTGGCCTTCAAGATAGGGCACAATCACTGGACGTAAGATGTCAGAAGTGTACCTATCTGTGTTCAACTTACCATCGATCCAAACTAGAGATGTGCGTGTCGTGTGCTCAATGGCTGCCCAAACGATCACACCAGATGCAGGGTCCATATGCCGATATCGAATGCAAGCAGCCAACGTGCGGTCTCCTTGGACTCTGCAGACACGTATACGTCCATCAGAATACTGCACGCAGAACCGGGGCTCGTTTGAAATGGCGACATTGTGCCAATCCTGTATCCAGTTTTGGCGCACCAGAGTCGCCATCTCTCTCTATGCTGCATTGTCAAGGGAAGCCGAAGTAATGGTCACCCTGCTGATAGTCCACGACGCTGCAAACGTCAACTCACCTAACGACCTGATACTGGGCGTGCTGCAAACATGCCCATTTCCTGACTAATGGTCCGTGATGTGGTCGTACGGTTTTGAAGGGCTGACCTCACATTATGTCTGCCCTCTCTGGTATTAGTCTCAGTTAGGGCGTTAAGATCCTGCATGCTGTTCAGTATGACCCTCAGTAGTCCATTGATTCCATATTGGCATAACAGTGGTTCGATGTAGACCAGTCGTACCGGTAATATCACGGAGCGATAATCTACACTTTCGATAGGCAACGATCCTGCCTGTATCGAATTTCGAAACTTGCTGCTAAGCATTTCCTTTTCTTATTCGAGGCATAACAGGATACTCGGATCAATTTCCAACCTTACAAAGCACTTTCTGAATGAGAAATCCACTACATAACTTTTCTTTTATGCAGTGCTTCAGATGTCGTTTCTCTCTCCTGCGTCGTCTAAATGCGCTGAAATACTAATGATTTGCAGATCCCAACTTCTCCTTCCTTTCATGTGATTTTGACGTTCGTCACATTATTCATTCCTGGTATTCCAATTTTAATGGCCAGCAATGTATTTAAATACAAATACATGTATTTTTATTTATGCGTCGATAAAAATTAAATTAATATGAGAAAGAGACTAGGTTGTTATTATTTATTATCAAGATTTGTTCCACTTCGTAAATTTTCTCTGAAGACTTAGAACATCTTCATAACAGAACATTCATATTTATTTTAAATTTAAATTAAAGTAACTTGGATTAATTAAACATGTTAATAATTTGAAAGAAATGTCAGTCTAGGAATTTTATAATTAGCCTCAATATATTTGAATTACAAAGTGTAACCAACAAAAAATGTGTTACAGGTACCAAAATTTAGAATTCAATAGAAAATAAATATAATTTTAATTCTCCCTTTACGATATTATTATTACTGTTTATATGTATTTTGATAAATATTTAGTAAATAAAATTTAAAACTTAACTAAATAATTTTAATTTGTTGATAACATTTTTTATTTTGTTTAAAAAATTTTGTGCATTCAACCAGCTTGCAATCTGAGTTTTAGACCTCCGTATTAAAGAGCATTTGTTTCGTGCAGCAGTAACACTTTCCATCTCACGTGTTCGATACCGCAGGTTATGGAAACTTTACGCCATAGACATTTCTAATGTCAAAAATTAATTTATTAAAGTATAATTAAGCTTATTGTGAAAGCAGAAAAAGAAAATTAATTAATTAGCTAAGCAAAATTAATTAATTAGCTTAATTAAAAAGTAGCCCTCATTCAGAGTTCATATAACAAATGAAATTGGGTAACTATAAGATCAGAAAATTAATAACATTATAAATTAGAAAAAATGATACGGAAATCGCAGTTGTGTGAAAGAGAAAGCAAAAATTCAATATCAGCGATCAGTAAAGTAATAAAAACAACCTATTCCTCATAGTTTAAATCTATACAAAAATTGAAAGACAAAGCAAATCAAAATGAAACATAAAAACATATAATCTTAAAACTAAACATTCAAGTGGAATTCTAAGAAATAAGCAACAGATCCATCTGAGAAAATAGTAGAAATAATCGTGTGAGAAGTTTGGTATTGTGTTGTAGCGTTGCGCGCCTCTAACTTGCACGCAACCAAGAGGTGACTGTGAAAACTGGATAAAAGACAGAGTCTTGTTAAGGGTTTAAGTCCCTTTTTATTCAACGTAATAAATTACAAGTGCGTGCTCTTGACGCTCACAAACTGCGTCAACTCGGCGGTCAAATAAAAATAATAACCTGAAAAGAAACTAAAGACAAGACTCTAACTACGAGGCTCTCTAAAGTAACTAACCTCACCGCGTTTTACAATACGCTGCTAATTCAGCAAACTTGAAGATCACGTTGAACGATTAACAATACTTCCAGGCAAGCACACAGGCCGAAACGCGAGGTCTTCAATTTCTGGCTAACTACCTCCGCGGTCGTGAAGTAAGAACAGCACACCTTGAACTCGTTTCCTTCCTATTTAACTCAGAATACTTCCGCTGATAATTTGAATCCTTGCGCGTTCTACTAAAATTTACATACTCTGGCATTGGCAGTTCCAGGGGAAAAGTAAGGCTTGACAGGAAAGGTAGTTTAAACTTAAAATAAATGTTAGTTAAAATAAATATAAACCCTACATTTGCCGCTGCAAGAATTTGGAAAACTTGGAAGCAGGTCCTACAAACGACCTGTTTGTAAGTTTCTATAATTCTGAACTAACTCTCGAGAACCTCGTTTACACAAAAAAAAAAATCTTATGTCACAAATTGTATACTAAAATTCTGTCTATACTTAAAACTCTCTCTTCTTACAGCAACTTTCCTGGACCTTCATCAATCAATCTTGGTTTTTTCCTTCCAGCATCTGGAAGGAA